TGGGGAATTCTGGAAGTTGAAGTCCACTCATCTTAAAGTGGCCAGGTTTGGACAACACTGGGTTAGACTGTATGGATGGGTGTGTTTTTTTTTTTACTGATATCAGGGTAGACAAGATATAAGCCAACTTGACTGATTGATTACGTGCCATCAAGTTGAGGTTGGCTCTTAGCGACCACGTAGTTCTCCTCTGGGACCATCTGTCCCTAGCCTGGTTCTTTGGGTCTTCCAACAGTACATCCATCGTCACTATAAACGAGTCCATCCACCCTGCAGCTGGTTGCCGTCTTCTCCTCTTTCCTTCCAAAGCCAAAATGGGTGGCTTTAAAATATGCCTATTTCTGTTTTTGTCTCAGCCATGCAATAATATTCAGTTTTATTGCACGTGATGGACTGCATTGACCTGGGATCCAGACCATGCTTGGCTTGCCTTTAAAGGTTTCTTTCAATCCAGACATCGTTGCCCCCTTCTATTCCCCCCCCCCAGAAAACAGACAAAACCAGTTGAAACTCCCTGCCAGTATCTTAGTAAATTCAAAAGTATTTTTCTGTAGGTGTTCAGCTATATAGATATACTATGTGTACATCTCTTGGATTTTGTGCTACATGTATTGCATGCCTTCCAGAGTGACTTTTAAGTGTTAACCCTATTCTGGGCCACTTTGAGAATGAGGTTTTGAAGCAGCAGATGCATCACATAAAGCCTGAGAACATGGTTCCCTGAAATGCTGAGCCACCCCTTGGATACTTAATCTCCTCTTTCTATGAATCTTTCATAAAAGGAATTCCTCCAAAACCAATTTTTGTAACAATCAGCAAGAGTCCTCTTTGGTAATTTAAGATCAGGGCACAAGCTTTGCATCCCAGCTACAAGAGTTCCCCAAAGAGAGTTTTCTTTTTGAGAAAACTAGCAAAGCAGAAAGCAATTCCACCCCCCATCAAATGGAAGGAAAAGGGTTGAAAAATGCAGGGGACACATGCATGTTGTCCAAGGTTCTAAGGAATGCTCAGAAGGAGCATGACTATAGTAGCAATGTCTCGCCAATGAACAATCAAAAAAAGGGAAGATATCCAAGAGTGTTATGTTCCCAACGTGACTGAGAAACTGAACAGCTCCCAGACTGATCCAAAGGAGGCCTGGGGGGGTAGAGAACTTGCATGCCAGGAGAACCACAGAGAGGACTGCCACCTGTCGGACATTCTGCCCCATAACATGGGGATTTGGAGAGAGAGAAGCAATTTTTAAGAACAGGAAGGTGCCTTGTATCTTCACCATCACCAATACTACCTGCTCTGGCTGGCAGTATCAAGCTCGGGGTTCACCTTGCTTTCTCAGCCCTGCCGGGAGATTCTGGAGGCTTCTACTACTCTTGTACTAAGAGAAGATGCTCTTCCTTTGTGCTGAAAAAGGGCACCCCTAGCTTGCTCTGGCCCAGGATGCTCTACTTAGGTTGGCCCGCCAGGATTCTTCCCATCGTGGACATGCCTGGCATTGAACCAGAACCAGGTGCTTTGACGTCTCAGTAAGAAGACAGCAAGGAGTAGCATCTCTCTTCTAACTCACTGATCCTGTCTTGCCCACCTGTATTACAGCCAGTGCTAAATGCAATTGCCAATGATCTCTAGCTTTCATTAAAACAGAACCAAGCCCAAATTTTGAGATCTTGTGTTTCTGAATGCGCGCAGGTCAGCATATGGGCAATCCGAAGAATTGTTAGGAATGTGCACTGAGGCAATGTCAAAACTAGAAGAAGCAGTATCTTTATGCAAAGCAATACCAGCCGGGGGAGAGATGTAGGAAGATAAATCCCAAGGAATCCAGCTGCCAAATTGCTGCAGGATTTCCCCATGTTTATAAGCCCGGGTCTCTGGTTAATACCTTATAACTAAAACCTGCTGGTTAGTTCTGCCTGCTGACCAGGAAAAGCACAGGAGCCAAAAGCTCTTCTGCATGTAAAAGCAGCACGGCTGGCAGAAAACAGCGATGCCGCGTGGTCTCAGTAGGAAGGCAAGAATCACCCCTGTCTGTCTCGAGCATCTTTAGGGGACGTGGCTGGAGGCGTGCTGCGAAGGAGAATATGAAGCGGTGGCCCCCCCATTAGGCTGCGCGCCCGCCTCAATCCACAGCCAGGACACGTGAAGGTTAGGCTGTTGGCTTCGCTCAATATCCCTGCATTGATTATCTCCTTCTCTTTGAAATTCAGCCCACCTGTTTTGAAACGGTGGGGACGCCAGAGTTCAGTCACTCCTCATTTGGCAGCAACAAGGAGACGTTGTTTGCTTTCTTCCTACTGTATGTAATATTTAATTAAGTGCTAAAATGTACAATTGCAGGATCCTATTAGCTCAACAGGTGTAAAGGTCAAAAGCTTGTCTAAACCACACCAGAAGAACAGAAGGTTTTTAGAGCTGGCACTAAAAGGAAGAGGAGGAGAGAGATGGCTGTCCTCTAGCCACAGCCATGGCTGAAAAGCTTCACTCCTGAACAGGATCTCATGGCTGACTCTGCCAGCCACCCCGGGAAGCCTCCGTGCACACTTTGCATCGTTCCTACCGCAAAATGCAATTTGCATATTACCTGATGAAGCCCAAATCTATATGGAGAGAGGAGAAGTCACAACAGTAATAACACACTCTGCTTCTCGCTCCAACCATATTACAAGCCAGCTCACCAAAAGAACGGCATTATTGGAAAAT